ATCCTTGTGATTACTGACCACTCCCAGGGAGCCAAATGCAAGAGCTGTTTTGAAAGCAGCACAATATCAAAGATCTGAGCATGGCCACTTTTCCTGCTATTTATATCGCTCCCATTATCTTTGCTGCCTTTGTATGCATAGCAAGGTTCCCGGGCTCTTCTTCCAAGATGGCTGAAGCAGCCGCATTAAACTAAGGAAGCAGGCATTACACCATTGACTAAGTCCAGGCAATGCTTGAAGCTGAAGGTACTTTAAACACTGGTTATAAAATTACCACTGGCCAGGTACCTATATAACATGCTTAGTCACAAGTCATGATATACAAACCCACAATGGCTCAGCTCAGATAATGTATTTCCCCAGATCAGATTGTTCATAATATTCATTATCCCTTGGCCCACCTATTGGAAATGAGATCATGTCCTTTTCGGGGCTGCTAAGCTGGTCAGTCTTTGATCTGATTTTTTTTAAAACACAATATTCCATAAGGCTGGATTGTGTGCTAAAGAAAAGGAGGGCTTCCCTCTGTTTTCCATCCATCCGTTCACAAAGCTGCCTCTCTCCGGAACACAATGGTCTCCTTCTTTTCTAGGCCACCATTGACCCAAGGCTGTATGGGCTGGGGGGACTTGTTATAGGCATTGTGCTTGTTCATTGAGAGGGTAACTCCAACCAACAGAAGGGAACATTCATGCAGATGCCATTACCCCACATCCTTCTCCCTCCCTTTAATGACAAGAGGTCAGTCAGATGCCTCTGCTATCTTCTTGGAATCCGAGAGGTCTATATCTTGGAGAGCTTTGTTGGGGATCTTCAGCAGAGTTGGTATTCAGCAGGTTCTGACCAGTTCTAGAGAACCAGTAGTGGAAATTTTGAGTAATTTGGAGAACTGGTAAATACCACTTCCGACTGGCTCTGCCCTCATCTATTCTCTGCCTCCTGAGTCCCAGCTGATTGGGAGGAAATTGAGATTTTGCAGGAACCTTCCCCTGGAGTGGAGAGGGAATGGAGATTCTACAGTATCCTTCCCCTGCCACGCCCACCAAACCATGCTACACTATGCCCACCAAGCCACGCCCACAGAACCGGTAGTAAAAAAATTGAATCCCACCAGGGCATCCTCTGTGCCCATCCAATCCTGGAAAACCAGGAATATCAAACAAGGGAGTATCATGGACATGCTATTTCTTCACTACTGATCTAGGATTAGAAAAAATGGGATCCAAGTTTTTCCCCTCCTAGAAAGGGACATGTGATTTCAGAGACTAAAGAGGGAGGAGGAAAACACAGCCTCCTTCATCTCACTGAAGCCTTGATTCCTACTGTAGCAGAGAAAGGAAGAAGCCTGATTCTGACAAAGCATCATGTGTCCCTCATCTGCACAGGAGGATGCTCCTAGGAGTAAGTAATCCATAGCTTATGAATTGCATGAGATGGCAAGCCTTTTAAAAACTTTCCTCCACCACCAAGATTTTGTCAATGAAATTCAGCAGCAAAGTATCAAAATGCAGAAGTGTAGTTTTCTTCCAAAAGAAAAAAGAAAGAGGAAGGGAAGGTACCATATTTTTGGAGCCTAAGATGCACCAAGATTTTAAAGAATTAAAAATTAAAAAAGAAAGTTTTTTTCTCCCCAAAATGGCTCATTTTTTTTGCAAAAACGGGCCCATTTTTGTCAAAAAAGGATATGCATAGCCTTTAGGAAGCTTGTAGAGTGCTCCTGGGGGCTGAGGGGGCAAAAACAAGCAAAACAGGGACCATTTTTCACTCATTTTTGCCTTCCCCAGCCCCCAGGAGCACTCTGGAAGCCTCCTAAAGACTATGCACAGCCATTTTTTGAAAGGGGCTGGGGTTTCGGGAGACCAAAAATGCTGTATTCAGTGTATAAGACGCACCCAGATTTTCACCGTCTTTTTTTGGGGGGGGGGAAGGTACTCTAAAAAATATGGTATATTCAGTCCCTGACAGAGTTGATGTACATATTTATCTTACTAAGAAAGAAAGAAAGGATAAAACTTTAAAAAATGAACAAAGAACCTGACATTCTGCCCCCACTGTTTCCAGTAACTTTAGTATTATCACTACCACGATCTCTGTGGTATTTAGTGGACCAAAAATAATATATTTTTAAAAACCCAACATAGTTTTGGCTGCAAAACAACCTCCCAGTCCTGACAACCCTGTGTCCAATACATTTCTTCTAATTATAAGCCATGGGCAAAGCCCAGAAAGCATGGAGTTTTTCACTGTAGCTCTCATGAGCAATGCACATTCAGCCTTAGCTATTCATCTAGCCGGCGATACTGTCTGCATTTGCAATGAGACCAACTCATTTGTAGGGCAGTTCCAAAGTGACAAGTTTCACCTGCGGAGAATACAATATCTCTAGCCATGCACAGCTTTATTCCCTGCCCTCAGCCCAAGCAATCACAGTAAATAATGGGCTTGCAAAAACACCCCCACCCCACCCCCAAGTTTGAAACTCATCAGCCCCTTGCCCACTTTTGGGGTATGCTCAAATATGATTTGGTCCCTTTTGGACTTTGGCTTCTTTCTTTGCCTCTTTGCATTGTACCAAGTACCAAGAATAATATGCAAACAGGTGTATTTTGTGGGGTGTCAATCCCCTTCATGGGGTCCAATGGTTTCTGCCAGTAGGAGATAAAGTAAAGATAAAGGTTCCCCTCGCACGTATGTGCTAGTCGTTCCCGAACAAAAGCAAGTAACAGGAGCTCACAGAGTGAGCTCCTGTTACTTTTCTTGGCTTCTGCCAACCTAGCAGTTCGAAAGCATATAAAAAATGCAAGTAGAAAAAGAGGGACCACTTTGGTGGGAAGGTAACAGCTCACCATGCACCTTTGGCATTTAGTCATGCCAGCCACATAACCATGGAGACGTCGCTGGACAGCGCTGGGTCTTCAGCTTAGAAACAGAGATGAGCACCACCCCTAGAGCTGGAAACAACTAGCACACAAGTGCGGGGGAACCTTTACCTCTATGATATGCAAACCCTGACCACTTAAGATTAGTTAGCGTGTGATATCAACAAACAAAATAGTTTCAGTCATCCGATTGCATTCATACATGGCATATGGCTGGTTTGGTTCTAGCTTAACATGTCACATAAACTCAACTATTCAGATTTTTAAAACCATGGGTTATGCCTTTATATATTGTTTAAGATGAACCAACAATGGTTTATTTAGCAAATTATGGCTTAAAGGAACCTATGTGGGAAAGTACCTCTCCTTTAAAATGTTCTCCCACATTTATTTATTTAAACATACTCTTGAAGATGTGCATGTTGGAAATAAAGAGGGTGGAATGAAGGCGGCATAGAATGTTTGCTGTTGAAATACTGAAATTTTATTGGGACCTTAGTTTCTTTTGGGTTTTAATCAATTGTTCAGTTGGATTTGGTTTACCATTCTAGAATCTTATGTGATAGATAGGCAGACACATACACTGGATGGAAGGATGGATGGATAAATGCCAAGTAGTTGTTGAAGAATTCCAAGGTTTGGTTCTTGGAATGTCCAATTAATTCTAAGAGAGGAGGGAAGCCTGGTAGTTTGATATGAGATTTTCTAAAAGCCATAGTTTGGGGCAGGGTCATTATTTTTGGGAGCTTCGGTAGGACCTTGTGTTTTCATCCTGGAAATACAATATAGAATCACTATAAACATTTCAGAAGTATTCATACAACCATGTCAATTAAAGGCAAAGCAGCTACATTTGTCCAGTGTGCTGTATTTGATTTTGTATTAACCTTGATTAGGGTTTTTTCTTTCTTTTGCAGCTTAGCATCCTGTGTGAACCTCAACCGTTGGGTTTATGCTTCAATATATTGCACGAATCCTTCAAACTGATTACTTGAGTAATCAACTTAAGCATTTTCAATAAACACAGATATTCCATGTGCTCCATAGTCTGAATCGTGGGGCACACCCACCCATTTTTTAAGAGAGATGAGACTCAAACCGGGAGGCAAGTTCGGGAACCTCATTCTTGGCCCACAGGATGGGCCCTATCTTGCTACACTTCCCAGGTCATGCTAAAAGGCAACCAAGGGCACAGACAACACTTGCAGATCAGGCCAAAACAAGAGTCAGCAAAAAGATGCAGTTTAGGGGGTGGGGGTGGGGAATGACATTTGAGCATCCGTTAGGCACACTTTTCAGTAAAAGTATTGGGACAGAAATAGGATGGGGAAAGTCCTCACTTAAACCCCTAAGATGCTGCAGGCGGTGTGACCTGGAAGTCAGGGAAGGTTGCATCCCCTCTTGTTAACACCCATTTGCAGAGACAAAAGGAAACCCCATCAGAACTGCAGGAACAATTGGCCAATCTCCCAGAGGTACCAGCCAATGCGTATGCAGGAGGTCACCTCCACCCAGTCATAGCAATGGCCTTTTCTGTGCTGCTTTGTTGTGCTACGGAAGAGCTTATTAGCTGAAGCTGCCAGCCCTAAACACCAAAGACCCCCTACTGGGCTTCATCGCTCCACAGTTCAGCCACTCCTCCTTCCTGGCCAGATGGAGAGCGTCTGACAGCCTATGCAAAGGAATCCGACACATGACAGCGCATAAACCTAAGCAAGAGGCCCAGCAGATACTGCAGCCAACAGAAATCCATTACTGCCACAAGGTCCAGTGTGCGCCAGCAAAATATTAGCATGTGGCCTCTGTCTCCCCAGGAAGTCACACCTCTTTTCACCAAGCATCAACCCGTATTTACCACCAGTATTGCTGGAATAGGCCTAATAATGAATGGCTGCATGCTGAGTTAAGAATTCAAGAAGTCCATCTGATTAACTAAGTGTGATTAAAAGGGGGAGAGTGAGTTAATCTTAATAGTTAAACCTATCAGATGATATTTAGGACAACGTGGGACCTCCTGCTTCACCTAGAAAATGATGTTCTTCTCACTGCTCCCCCCCCCCAATGCACAAGTGTTGTGTACCCAAACCACACTTCAGAAATGGTGGTATGCATAAGACTTACCTTGTATTTGGTTGCTAGAAGTTCAGTGGCCTCTTGCTCCCTCCTGAGTTCCTCAATCATCTTTTCTTTCTCCTCCAGTAGCTTTTGCTTCTCCTCATTCACCAGGCTGTGGTCATCTTGGATTGCTGCTTTTTCCTCCTCCAACTTTTCCTTTTGCTCCTTCAAGTAATTTTTCATGTTTTTTTCCAGCCCTCCATCCTCATTGTCCTCTGGCTCTTCACCTTCGGGGGTTCCCTCCCCATCTATGGTTTTCTTTCTCCGGCTACTCCTCCGCCTTTTCTTGCTCAGCATCCCTCGTTTCTCCAACTGGGCCTTCAGGCGGATGATCTCCTCCTGGAACTCCCGCAATAGTGTATCTTTAGGATCCTCGTTGATTCGTGGCTTGTTCTTGATATTTTTGGCCCTGTTAGCAAAACGGAGGGTTGACAAGCTCTCATCGTAACTGTGGGAAGCTGGGCCCAGCGTGGCTACCATGATGGTCTTGGCATTACCACCCAAAGAGTCCTGCAGAAGGCGGGTGAGCTTGGAATCCCGATAGGGGATATGGGTGCTTTTGCCATCCACCAGGGCTGAAATCACATTCCCCAGAGCGGAGAGGGAGAGGTTGATCTTGGAGGCCTCTTTGGGCCGTTCCCCCTGAGCACCCATCTTGCTCTGCCTTTCACTCCCAGCCAAGTCCACCAAGTTGAGCTTCCCCACCCGGATGTGATCCTCTCCATCTGGGCCAGTCTCACTGCACTCCACCGTGATGACAAAGATGGCGTGCGAGCGGGAGCTGTACTCGTTCATGTTCGTGCTGCCCACCGATCGGGTTTGGTTCCCCAAATTCATGACATGTTCAATTTCTTTGACGTTTTTGGTCACAAAGGACGAAAGGTCCTTGATGTAAACCCCCGTTTCCGGGTTCTCTTTCAGATCCATTTTCTTACTCTGGTCTTTCGCCAGGAGATCTCGGATCTCTTCTTGATAGATCTCCAAATAGGAAGCCCTGACCAAATATTGCTGGTTCTGAGAACGGGAGATGTGGGTGAAGATGTGCTCAAAGGAGATGGGGATGACCCCTCTCTTCTCAGGGTCAGCCCAGATCCCTTGCATAGTGTAGGTCTTCCCGGTACCGGTCTGACCGTAGGCAAAGATGGTGCCGTTGAACCCTTGCAGGACCGAATCGATCAAGGGCCGGACCGTTTCATCGTACAGGTCTGCCTGCTTGGAAGTGGCATCATACACGGCATCAAAGGTGAAGGTTTTGGCCAGTTCCCCTGGGGAGGCCTTGGGGTTCCGGATCGTCACCTGGCCCAGCTTCACATCCATGTCCATGATCCTCTCGTAGCCCGTGGCTTCCTCTTTCCTGTTCATGGGGCGGCAGCGGACCACCACTTTTAGAGTCTCGCTGACCCTCGGCCTATTAGCCATGGTGAAACCGAGACGGGGGTCCTTGCTCCCGGCGGTGGAGGGGGGGGTTGCTTTCCTTGCCCTTCGGCTGTCAGGGCTGGGCAGCGGCCGCACCGTTCCTAGGCATGAGGTCCTCGTCCTCCTCTCCGCTCCGAGGTTGCTGCTGGGTGGTTGCTCCGCTGCGGCAGCGGACTTGACAGGCTGGCGCGGCTGCGGTTATCGGCACCGTCTTCCCTTCGCACAATAGGTAGAGTCAAGGCATGCTCCGTTCACGGCATCCCGCCTCGGACCGCGGACCACCCATGACGGCTCATCGCCCCGTGAAGGATGGGGGGTGGGGGGGTGGGAGGAAGAAGAGAGGTGGGGGGGGGGAACGGTGCGGTTGCAGCCTTCCCCGCAGGCGGCGGACGGCGTGAGCCCCCCACTCTGCCTTAGGCTCGCTTTCTTCCTAATCTTCAACAGCTTCGCAGCGGCTCCCTCGGCAGCTCCAGGCGATCCGAAGGGCTTGCGAGTCGCAGCGCTGGATGCTCATTCATTGCAGCTCAGCAGCGGCAACAGCGGCAGCTGCCGCCCCTCTGGCACGTAAAGAGAACGAGGGAGGAAAACAGAAGGGAGGGAGGGGAGGGAGGGGGAAAGCAGCGCCCGGAGGGAGATGCTCCTGCCGCTGCCGCCGCCGCCGCTGCTGCTGCTGATCCGGTGGGAGGATGGAGGGGAGGGGGCTGCCGGCGCTTGGCTTGCTGGTGGCTGCCCTGGAACGGAAAAGCCAAGCGCGAGAGGGCGGAAGGGGGCTGGGTGATGATAACAGAAAGCGTCTCCTCATCCTCAGATGCTGCCCACCCCCAGAAGGGGAACACCAGCGGCTCCTCGGCTACCCCGCCCACTGTTCGCAAAGCATCCTGGGGGACGTAGTCCTGCCTTTGTTGTCTTCTTCACCCACAAGGGGAGAAGGATGCAACTCCGAGCCGGTTGACTTGTAGAAGGTAGGCTGGTGCGGTAGGCTGGTGGGGAGGGGAGGGGGCTGTTTCTTAAAGGGACAGGTGTGTTTATTTATTTATTTTAGTTTGCTTGTCAGCCATGTAAAAGTTAACGTAAGTATAAACATAAATATGAACACAGGAAATGGGTACGAATAAATGGGGACAGTAGGTCAGGGACGGTAGGCACGCTGGTGCGCTTATGGACGCCCCTTACAGACCTCTTAGGAATGGGGTGAGGTCAACAGTAGAGAGTCTTAGCTTGAAATTATGGGAATATGGGGATGTAACAACAGAGTCAGGCCATCGTTTCGGCCATTCGGAACAAAACGGGGAGCGTCCGGATCAAAAGAAAAGCCATGAGATGTCATCCTCAGAATTGGCTGCACATTTGAATTTTTGGGACCAGCACCGTTTACGAAAACCTTTCCCAGTTGAGTGGGTGCTACATCTCCCAGACTGCTGGGCATCATGGGGTTATAATGTAGTAAAGAGTGGCCGATTTGAGCAGATTAATCAAAATGAATGTACATCGTCTTCCTTGATAGCCTCTTTAAAAAGTAGGCTCCTGTTAGGTCTCACAGTCATCTAGAAAAGAAAAGAAAAAAATCCATTTGGAATGTGAAACAGCCTAGCAGAAGGAAAGGCGGATCTCACACAGATGGCACAACCTAGCAAGTTTTGCTAAACAACTCTCCTCTAGCCCCACTTCCCCGCCAGATCTGGGCTGCAAAAAATCTCTGGAAAGAGACAAGTTATTTGCTGTCATCTAGTGGTCATCCAGCAGTGGGTCTCCTAAAATAATACACGGCCTTTTTCATTTCCATTTCATTTCGTTAGGGCATTAATTAGCACACCCTGGGAGAGTTACATTTTGGGCTCTTTTGGGGGGATTGTCTACTTGAGGCATCTAGATATCTTGGATCAGCTCTAAAACTGTAAGTAATAATAGAAACATCGAGATATTAATGATACACAGAAATTTGCTTTTTTTTTTTTCTAAATCCCCACCTCCCATATCAGCAGCTGGCTGTATCTGGTTGAGTCTGGATCAGGTTTTGCTAGCATTTAAATCAGTATTTAAGCTCCCAGAATTCCCCAGCCAGCATGCAGGGAAAAGGTAACAAATTATTTTGGTACTCCTTCCAAGAAAAGGCAGTGAGTCAGGGACATGCCCATATAGTTAGCAGGAGTTGTTCAGTGATGCTTTATTTGATCTTCTTTTTCTTATTCCTGCAAATTTAATTAACCTACGTACCCATTTTTTACAGAGCATTTAGCAGAGAAATCTGAATAAAAGATATATTTTGGGAGCAAATTGTATGTTTGCACAAACCTCTAAATGAACAGTTCCCACAGAGTAGAGAGTTAAATACTGTACAAATTAGTGCTACAATATATATATATAGATACATGCATACCGGTACATACATATATATTATTAGAGTCAAAATAAGAAAATGGTGAAAATGGTAGATGCAAAAAGCTTAGGCAGCCTTTCAGGCACTATGTTGTATCACTTCCTTTGGCAGAAAGGAATAATGTACTTTCTGTATTTTACAGAATGTATTTTTAGTCTTGAGTTTGATATTTTGATATTTTCCCCCCATTTTTCTTTGCGGAACCTATCTAGCTTAAGAACAACCCCTGAGCTCCTTACATGAACTATATTTTGAGATCTCCCCAGATCCTGAATAATATTCAATCCTCCTGACTGAAGCTGTTCCAAAACATTGATCTGCCCTATAGCCATTTCGTGGTTAGTTTGGAAATTTGTCTCAAATACACATACAGTAGTCCTTGACTTACAATCACAATTGAGCTCAACATTTCTGTTGCTAAGCAAGGCAGTGGTTAAGTGAGTTTGCTCCATCTTACGACCTTTTTGCCCCAGTTGTTAAGCAAATCCATGCAATTGTTAAGTGACTCTTGCAGTCATTAAGCAAATCTAGCTTCACTTACTCCTTGTCCGAAGCCAGGTTACAAGTGGTGAGATCAAATGAGCCCAGGACAGTGCAACTGTCATAAATACATGCCAGTTGCCAAGTGCCCGAATAATGATCATATAACCATAGGAATGCTGCAACTGCCATAATATGAAAACCAGTCAGAAGTGACTTTCCAGTGTTGTTGTACTGGTCACTAAATAAATGGTTGTAAGTTGAGGACTATCTGTACGGTAGCAGTTTTGCACAAATATCTAACTTCTTTGCAGCTTCCGTTCCATTTTGCAGACTGAATCACCTGCTCTGCCCAACTTACAATGCATTATTAACGATTGCTGATCCAGCCACTATCCAGAAGCAGGTTGACCTTTACAAGCAACCAAGAATAATAAACCTAAGCAAAATCAAAAGACCAGCCAGAAAACATTGCAGGTGGGATGCAGAAGATGAGGGAGCTGAATAACAAAATAAAGCCACAGGGTCGATGGCACTGCCTTCTCATTCTACAATGCTCCGGCAATTTTCCTAAGCACTGTTGTTTTTTTCCTCCTGCTGATTTAGCACTGCAGGCAGAGGGCCAACTTGGAATCCCTTCCCACTCAATGCTAAAATTGTAAGGAATCATGCAAATTTTGCAGCACTCCTTTTTCAATAGTTCCCCATGGTCTGCAGCTGACTGGTTTGCATCTGGAGACTATTATATTGAGCAAAGCTGATCCAAATGTTCCCTGCATGTGGGAAACACTGTGAGCCTTCATCTCCTTAGCTGTACTCCTTTCTTTAGTCTCATCTTTTAAAATATATACCATAATATATATTATATAGAAGCACCAACAGTTTTACTGACCAAAGATCCATGTATATTAGGGGTGTCAAACTCAATTTCATTGAGGGCCGCATCAAGGTTGTGTTTGACTTTGGGAGGGCTGGGGGGGACATGGCCAAGAGGGCATGGCTAGCTCGATGTCACTAATGTTGGGGCGCCTGTGGTGGCCCAAGCGCTTTGTCAGGGAAAATGGGCTCCTGAGCTCCGTTTTCACCTGCAACAGCCTCCTGCATCCCTCTGCCAGTGAAAACGGAGCTTGGTAGGGCCACTCGCGGCCCTCTCAAGCTCCGTTTTTGTTGGCAGAGGCATCGCGGGCCGGTCCTTCACTGTTTCCAGTGCAGCTCTACATGTCAGATCTAAGCACCCCATGAGTTAGATCTGGCCTATGGGCCTTGTGTTTGACAACCCTGATCTATATGAATCTATAGTCTGTTTTCGTAATGACCAAGCAAATACTCTGGCAAATCCATTGACAGAGAATGAAATGGCAGTTCTCTTGTTGTTTGCCTGGCATTCAACAGCATACTGATTCTTTTAAAAACATGAAAATGCCATTAAGTTTTCATATCTAGTAGCTACTTCTACCACAGATTTACTCATCTTCTTTTGAAAAAGTAAGATCCTTTGGAGTCATGCTCATCTTCCTGGATCCATTCAGGTAGTTTTCTTGACAATAACACCAAAATGGCTACCATTGCCTTCTTCCTGGATTGCCTCCCCTATATTCCATTCTTGCTTATTGCCTTGTGGTTTCTCAACCAAGCACCAGACAGCTCCAAACCTGCTTAGCTTTCTGAGATCTCCCAAGGTCAACTGCAATATAAATCTATTGCTATCACTGAATCTTGTGGCAGTGTTACATTAAGTGAGTTATGCGCTATGGGTTGAAGCCAACTAGCTGCTTTTAAAAAAAATATATTGCCTTTGCTTGAGGATAAAAATAGGCAGGTGGTGATCTTGGAAATAAATCTGGCTCTTCTGGGTTTCCTGTCTAGTATTTTTCCTAACTGGAGGATTTCTTACCGTTAGGGTTGCCAGCTGGTGAAAGGACACTGACATTTGAAAGTCCTGCTGGCTCATATGTATACATTGATCCTACCTAAGCAAGGATGAGATCCATTCTAGCGTTGTTGGATGAGACCTCAATTTTGTACCAGAAATATATAATGTACTATAGCATCAATCTTTTATTGGAAAAGAATCAGTGTACTGCCAACTTTTAAAATGGAAATCAGGAACTCATAAGTCTATCAGTTTATGTAGAAATGGATTATTACCAGAGGTGGGTATTCAGCAGGTTCTGACCAGTTCTGGAGAACCGATAGCAGAAATTTTGAGTAGTTCGTAGAACTGGTAAATGCCACCTCTGACTGGCCCCACCCCCATCTATTTTCTGCCTCCTGAGTCCCATTTTATTGGGAAGAAATGGGGATTTTGCAGCAACCTTCCCCTGGAGCAGGGTGGGAATGGAGATTTTATCGTATTCTTCCCCCATGCCACGCTCACCAAA